GGGTTAATATCTGCAAATCTGACTTGGGGAAATGGGATGAAGATCAGGCAGAGCAGGAAGCATGTGCACAGTGTGCCCCATGCACTAAGGCCCAAGGCAGCATGTAACGAAGGCTTTGATTCTCAGGAAGGGGCCTGTAGAATTAGACAAAGTACTGAGATGGGATCTCTAAGTGAATGGGGTCAATACAGGAAGGTGAAATGTAACTCAGGAAACAACAGGAAAGCTCAGAGGTTAGTTCTGGGATACTGAATCTTGGGTCAAGGTGCCAGCAAGGACAACTGGAATGAGTGCTGGCTGTATTCTTTGAAACCAACTGCTCTGACTCAAGGTAATGGCTTATAAAGTAGTTAAAGTGATTTCTGTAAGTCTGACCTTCAATTCAAATAGCCCTCATGAGCCTTCCTTGAGCAGATGAGGTAGAACTCAGAATATTCTCAGTAACACTGCACTCTTTGTTCTTCCTTCTCTTGGCCATCAAATGCCTCTAGGTAGAGTCTCACTTCTTCTTCTCCACTTTCCCCCTGTAAACCATTCCAAATTCTTGGCCTGCCCAGCCCATTGACCTCATGGCAACTCCCCTAGCTGAAAATACTGCTTCTCCTCTCCAAGGCTAGCTAAAAAAGCCCTTTGTGGCTCACTTGAGGACAGAGATGGTCTACAGCCTCTCTGTTTCCTGTGTGGTCCTGCACCAACAGCATTGGCGTCACCTGGAAACTTGTCAGAAATTCAGAAACTCAGGCTCCACCCAAGATCTACAGAGTCTGCATTTTAACAAGACCCCGAGTGACTCCTCTGTACAGGAAAGTCTGAGAAACCTTGCTCTGGAATCCAGATTATATATAATTACCAGTAAAGTGAGCAGATTCAGGGGGGAAAAATCACTCTGTCTTGATATATCCAAATTTCTAACAGAAGATATAACTTTCTAGAGGGTTAAACCTTATACAAGGATTTGAGGTCCTGGCATGCTCAGGGTGTTAATATACTCAGTCCAGGGGATGTGTTTACCAAAGGCAAACAAATGCCCCAATTTTCTCAAATACACTAAAATCCTAGTAGAGGTCAAACTTGCTGCCTGGTTGAAGCTGATGCCTTTGCTTAGGGTGCGCAGTGCTGGAGGGCCTGTTTGTGCCACCCAATGAGTCACAACAAATGAAAGATTGACTATTTCACTGAAGCTTCCCACAGTAGAAAACCCAAGGAGATATTCTTAGCACTGAGCCAGAGGAATTCAGAAGCCAATGTCAGCAATCTGGGTTGAAATTCAGGATAATAACAGGATAAACCATAGACTGATTTTTACACAAAGACTCACAGCCCTCTGGGTCTCACATATGTCCTGGCAGTAGCTAGAGTAGAGCATTTGCATATGCTGTACATACCCTGCCTATATCCCTCAGCCAGCTCCTTATTGCATAGATAGGCCATTCTTGGTCCAAGAATTTTTTTCAGGCTGTGGGAACAAACTCAGGCTGAGTAGGGACAGCTTTCAAGTGTGAATTGGTGGATAAATGCCCCAGCCTCCTTCCCCACTGAGAATGAATAACACTGAAGCAGGTCTACGCAGCCTCTCATAGTTTCCTAGTAGGACTGAGCTCCACTTGTCTATTGGGGTAACTTGCTTGACAACATGCCCAGGACTGGCTGCCTTTCCTTCTCTGTCTCCATTCTCTGCTCACCTGCTGGTGCTTCCTGGGATCACTTCCTGAATAAGTGATTGGCACCCAAACCCTGTCTCAGTGTCAGCTCCTGGGAGAAATGAACCAATATGAGAGCAATTTCTGAGTAGCTGTAACGAATGGACTCATTTGAGGCTGAATTGCATCATTTTATTTGAATATTTAAAATAAAGTTGTTTCATAGGGCTCTAAAATTGTTCCCATTATATGGTTTCAGCTAAATCATTTGTATTTCATATTTGTGTTTGAACAAAAATATGGAAAAATCTCCAATGTTATGTTCACATTGTTGGCATCCTCTCCATATATCCAAGGATAAGAGCAATCTTTTTGATGACTCTCTATGGAACTGGAATGTGGGTGATGATTACCCCATATTTCAGCATTAGCCAATAGGAAAAGAAGCACTTCAAGCCAAATTTGCCCCATTCCCCCCAAAAAAGGGTCTATAACATGATGGGCAAAGCCTGATATTCTTTGGCCATGGGAAACTGTCTCAAGAAGCAGCAGACAAATCTTATTTTCCTCTCTGACCTATGTGTTGCAGGTTCTTGAGTTTTTTGTCCTCATGTAGACCAAGAATTGCTTGTCTTCTAACTTTGACTTTTTTGCCAGTGACCATGAGAATAAAGTTGGCTTAAAGAACTCAGGTTCTGCTGAGCCATTCATTTTAGAATGAACTATTCATTCTAGATTCAAAGAAAGAGGAAGTAGAAAGTCATGCTTGGGTGTTTAGCTTCTACACCAGCAATGGTGGCCAGAGAAGATATATAAGTTATCTATTGTTATGTAACAAATTATCCCAGAATTTAGAGGCTTAAACCAACAAACATTATCTGGTAGATTTTGCAAATTAGGCATTTGTGAAACTTAGCTGGATGTTCTGGCCTATAATATATGTGAGGCTGCAGTAAAGATATTGGCAGAAAATCAGTCAAGATGTCCTCCTTCAATGGTTCTTGGCTGCCTGAATGTCCTCATAAGTGATCTGAGATGCAGAAGCCTACAATATCTTTAGAACATAATCTTAAGAGTGACGTGTCATCTCTTCTACTGTATATTTTTAAGCACGCAAACCAATCTTGAGACAATGCAGAAGGGGGTTATACAAGATTGTTACATTTAACCATATATATGGATGGAACTACAGTCAAATACTTGCCAGCTGTTCTTTATCTTTCCCCAAGTAGAGAAAATCTCTGATCACCAATCACTCGTCATGCCAAAGAATCAAAAGGGTATTATTGTGCTGATACTAAACCACATTTTCTGTTGTTTCTCTCTTTCTCTCTCTTTTGTTAATCCTCATCCGAGGATATTTTTCCATTGATTTTTAGAGAAAGCAGAAGGGAGGGGGAGAGACCCAAAGAGAGAGAGAGAAACATTGATGTGAAAGACACATCAACGTTGTCTCCCACACACTCCTGACAGTGCCAGGAATCGAGTCTGCAACTGAGGAAAGTATTCTTGACCTGCAACCCTTAAATGTTCTATCCACTGAGCCAAACTGGCTAGGACTCTGTGGTCTCTTAATAAATTTATTTCTTGAACTCCTAAAAGTTGTATATTCAAATAATGATTTTTTAAAATATATTTTTATTGATTTTGCACAGAGAGGAAGGGAGAGAGATAGTTAGAAACATCAATGAGAGAGAGTCATTGATCAGCTGCCTCTTGCACACCCCCTACTGGGGATATGCCCGCAACCAAGGTACATGCCCTTGACCGGAATCGAACCCGGGACCTTTCAGTTCCCAAGCCGACGCTCTATCCATTGAGCCAAACTGGTTTCGGCTCAAATAATGAATTTTAAAAACTGTCAACATAATTTGAGTCTGGATGTGTCAATCAATGGTAAATGAAACAGAACTGGAGGAATGTAACTTGACTTATCATCGACTAGCCAACATTGACTGTTTGATGCAAAATAAAGAAATGGAGACAGATATTTTGAATTAACATGGATTTGGCTATCATAATTGGGCTAGGTTGGAGGGACCTCAAGTCTAGTTCTTCCAGAGGATGTGGTTCTGAACTGGACCCCAGAGTACTCCTATCATACAACTGCTGGAGGTGGTTCAGGAAAGGCTTAGCCAGACCTCATCCTACTCAGTGAAAGCAAGAGATTTTTCCTTAGAAAAACTGCAAATTATAAAGGAGATTCACTTTAGAACTCTTCCATTCTTTTGCTTTTCTTCGCATGTGGCAATTATTCTTTGGTTTAATATTTCTGTGCGGTGAACAAAACAACTGGAACAATTCTCCCTCAGTTATCTATCACTTTTCTTCTCCTCACTTTAGTCTTTGTTACTTCCTTGGAGCATGGAGGGTAGTGTCAAGGAGGAGGAAAAGGAAACAGTAGAGAGGAGGGGGAAGCAGGAGAGAAAGGTGGGGAAAAGGAAGAGAGAGGAAACAAGAGTGCGTGTAAGTGTGTGTGTGTGTGTGTGTGTGTGTGTGTGTGTGTGTGTGCGCGCGCGCACATGTGCACACAATGAAAGAAAGGAAAATTCTGATCATAGTAATGAATTAGAATCAGAAACTGAACCAGGGGGATCCTTGTACACTGGATAGTTCAACACCCTTATTTTCCAGCTTAGAAAACTGAGTACATGAATGATTAAAGGATTTACATAAGGTGATATAAAAAGTCAGGGGCACAGCTGAACAATAGAACACAGGTGTCCCCCACTTCCTCCTTTTAAGTATTTCCTAGGCTGCCCCATCAGTCTGTAAGAATAAATAGCCTCTGCCTCTTCCTTCTCATTCAACCACACAACTCAGAGCCTGAAAGAGCATTTCAATCAAGTTGAATAAACTGTGTGCGTGCGTGTGTGTGTGTGTGTGTGTGTGTGTGTGTGTGTGTGGTGGGGAGAGGTTGTCTGAGTCTGAAGTGAATGAGGAGAGTGGAAAGAAGCATTTTGCTAAGGAAGATGACTTTTTATCTGATTATAGCATACAACTTAAACAAGTCTTCAAATTTCCCAAGGCAGAGTAATAGAAAAGGAAGAGTTGTAACACTCCTGATAATTAAATGGTAGTTCTAAGGGATCAGTCATGTCTTCAGAGGCCATATTGCAAGGCCACTAATAACAGTGACACTAATGTGTTTGGGTTGTACTTAACAATCCGAGTGTTTAGTGCACTTCAACCATTTGTTCTGGGTCAGCAGAGGTTAACAAGCCAGTAGTGAATATAAACACAATTGTGTTTCGTTAGGCTAAGCTCCAGGTTTGAAGAGCAAGGACAAAGCCCCATCAATCATTTTTAAGTCCTTCTAGAAACAAGTGGTACATGTTGGATAAATATATTAATACTCACTGTTGTGTTTGAAGATCCTTATGGTTGCACCTGAGAGTCGGGCCCCAAGCACAAGAGATGCGTGATTTAACTCATCACTTAAAATGAGGCATCCCTGTTTACAAAAAACACACATATGACACAGGTCAATAAATAAAGTTAAGGAGAAACAACATGTGGGTACAGTAAGGTATTTTAAGACTTGAAATATAGACTCCTGCACCCACTTCAGTTTTAAATCTAGCGTCTTTATTAATAAATACTATTCATCAATTGGCTGATGGAGTTGGGGGTTGTTTTAATGGATTACATCCTTGAGTCACTTATACTTAATTTTCAGCAGAAAAGGTCATTTAAGATCTTGGTTCAGCAACAGCTGTTGTATAAAGCATTGATGTTTGACAGGAAAACTGATACACTTTTGGGTGGGTTGGGGACTTGCAGGGCCCTTCAATCCAATGATAGATTAATTGGGACAGTTTTGGTGTTTCCTTTGGAAAGGCAGGATCTTTTCTTTCCCATTCTTCACTGTACTGACATTCATGCAATAAGAGCATCACTGCTTGACAGTTAAAAACATTGCATTTGGAAAAATATGAATGGCAATTCAGTCTGAGGCCTGTGGAAAAGTTCAATCTAACTTACTGCCCATAAATTACAATTTATAAATTTAGGTTTCCTTTTGAATGAAAATATTATAAATTTTGAAATTGTGCAACCATACCCAAAATGTAGAGACAAACTATGGTGGCCATTTGTCTTCTATAGCCAATCAGAATCTGGGGGTTCTTCCTTATATTTTGGAAATTTCATACGTAACATATTTTGAGTTTTTGAGGCAAGTGTCATCACATTCCTATACTCTATACTCCAGACATGTGTGTGCATTTATTATTTTTTAGGTGAACATTTGAGAGTTACTTGTAAACCTTATGATACCTCACCCTGAAGTTCTTCAGCATGTTTTTATTAAGAATAAGAGCATTCTCCTGCAAAATCACAATGTAATCATCACATCCAAGAAATTAAACTTTTATATATTATGTAATATATAGCTCAAAATGATGTTTTCCCAACTGTCCTAACACTGTATTATGTCTTTTATAGATATCTTTTCTCCTATTTTTTAAAATACATAATCCAATCAAAGGCTATACATTAATTTGGTTGTCATGAGTCAGATTTCTTAAAAAACGTAAATCTGGTTATGGCACTTGATTTTACTTAAAATGAACCAACCTACTCCCCATTTTTTCTTGGGAAGAATTTCAAAACTTGCACATGACTTACACTGCAAGACTTTGCAATTTGGCATCTGCCATCATCTATGGTCCCTTCTCCATCCACTACCCTATACTCTAGTTCTTCCCAACCTAAGCCTTTACCCATGCTGTTTCCTCTTCGTAATACTAAGGAAATAACTTATCTATCTTAACAGATAAGTAAAGGATTCTCATTTCACCCACTTTGAATGAGCTTTTTCAAGAAGAGTTTGAAGGCAACTTCTTGTCCTTCCCCATGTATATTCATGTCTTCTCTGTGTTAAGTCATCCTACTTTATTTGGTGTGTTTTTTCTCCATTAGAATGTAAATTATATAAATTTACAAGGCGCAAGTCTTGTTCATCTTTGTATGTCCTGTATCTTGCCTCACAACAGGACATAGTCAATTCTCAATCAGTTATTTATTGAGTGAATGAATAAATGAATGAATGGTACAAGCAAAATGTTTTGTTCAAATAAATGCTGAACAAGTATTGTCTTCATTATAGATAATAAGTAGGGAACCTACAAATTTAATTGATTTTGCTAAGAAATAAACTCATTTTTCATGAAAGATGAAATTTGACTCACACCTGGGGCTGCCATTCTATAACCAGACTATAACGATGAAGAGATTTGCTGAACTAAGGTAGTACATTTATTTTAAAAGTTGAACAGCCATTAGGCTTTTCCTCAGAAAAGGAACTTCTGAGCTATATCTCTAACAAAGGGCCTTCTCAGTTATAATTCTTAGGAAAAATACAGCAGAAGATAAATATGTTAATAAATTCTCACCTTCCCAACTAATGCAGGAATATTCATTGAGTTAGTTGCAAATCCCATCCCAAAGACCATGGCTGCTTCTACCTTCAGGAACTGAGCCACAAGGTCCTCCAACTCTTTATGCTTATCCAAGGTTCCTGCACACAAAATGATAGGATGAGTGAGTCTTCTCTTTCACAAAAAGTCTAATAATTAAAACTCAAAATAATTAAAACTCAAATTAAAACTCAAATAATTAAAACTCAAAGTCTAAAAATTAAAACTCAAATACCCATCAACAACATTTATCTATATATTTTGGTGATGCATAGCAGGTTTATTTACTATGTAGACCCCATACAGAAACAACCCAAAAGTCCATCTTCTACAGAATGAATAGATGCATCATGGGAATATCTATATAATCAGATTCAACACTGCAATGAGAAAGAACAAATTACTGTACAACACAACTTAAAAAAATCTCACAAATTAGTGATTGAGTGAAATAAGTCAGATACTTATATACTCAAAGATTGTATGAGTCCATTTATATAAAATTTACAAACAGATAAAACCAACCTATTATGCTGGAAGTCAGGGTGGTGGTTTCTTTTACTGGGAGCATGAGAAGCAAGTTTTTATTTCTAGATCTGGGTGCTAGTTACATGTATGCTTGCTTTGTGAAAATCCTTTGAGCTAAATCCTTGCGAATGGTGTACTTTTTATATAAATACCTTATGACGCAATAAAAACTACAAAAAATTCATTCCATAATTTCTTTCTCTCCATAGCCTACATCTCATAAATAACTGATTAAATGTTAACCCCTCAGAGGTTCCCCATACTCACATGTAAACAGATTCCATAAATAACTTTTAAAAATATATATTTTATTAATTTTTTACAGAGAGGAAGAGAGAGGGATAGAGTTAGAAACATCGATGAGAGAATCATCAATCAGCTGCCTCTTGCACGCCCCCTATGGGGGATGTGCCCACAACCAAGGTACATGCCCTTGACCAGAATCGAACCCGGGACCCTTGAGTCCAAAGGCTGATGCTCTATCCACTGAGCCAAACCAGTTTTGGCAGATTCCATAAATACTAATGAATCTAGTTATAATTTATTAAACCTTTGGAATGTGCTAGATTTCAAAGCTCACTATTTAGGTTATCTCATTTAATCTTAATAGCCCAGGAATCCAGGTATTATTACTTTACAGATAAGGAAGCTAAAGTGTAAAAAAGAGGTCATAGAAAAAAAGCAATAGAGGTAATCTAGTCTAACTCCAAAGTTCACATTTTTACCACTTCGGTATCTTTTATATGCTTACTTTCTGACCCTTTTCTCTACATAATCCCCTTCATGCCTTACTGAGAGCAAACCTATTGCTCCCATGTTTTTCTTTTTTGTCACCACTTGAACTTTTAGATCTGCACGGTCCCATATGGTAGCCTCTGGCTACAAGTAGTTAGTACAATAGAGAAATTGAATTTTAACTTTCATTTAACTTAATTTAAAATTTTAAATTGAAGCACTGTAAAATATTTACTACTCAACACAACTTCATATTTTGATAAGGTTACATTCTACTTATTTCACTTTACTCAAGAAAAAAATGTAATATCTGAATTGAGATGTGCTTTAAGGGTAAAATATACATATTTTTAGGGCTTAGCTCAACAATAAAAGTAATGTAAAATGGCTTATTAATATTTTTATATTGATTACATATTTAAGTTATATGTTGGATATATTGGGTGAAAAAATATAAAGTTGAATTTACCTGGTTGTTTTTTTTTTTAAACTTTTTAATGTTTTAAATTTTTTACTATAAAATTTAAATTATAGGTGTCTTGCATTATATTTTTATTAGGCAGTACTGCACTAGATGATACACATTACAGAACAGAAAAAAATGGACAAGTGGAGAGATTCTGCAATTTGCATCCTTGGGATGTAGAAGCCAGATTTAACTCAAATTTAAGTTAGAGCTATATTGTGAGGATATTCATAACTATTATAAACATACTTCTTTTAACCTAATGATTAACATATTTTAGTAAACATAATGTGATATTAGACTTTAATTTAAATTGGTAAATTATCTTGCTTATTGTGCTAAAATGGGGAAGCATTTAACTGTAGAAAGCACTGAATGGTTCAAAGTTTTACTTGGCATTTAATATGGAAGCTGATGTTTGATGTCCGATCTTTATCTTTTATGAGAAGTCACACTATCATCTAACAGATAACTGGTGGTCTTTCTTTTCAAAGCAGAATTCATCTGTTTTTCAATTGTCAGAAACCATAGAAAACAAATATTTCAGCAGTCAATTTTGCTCAAGATTTGAGGAAAAACATTAAAACTTTAAATTGTAATTTAAAACCTTTTCATCATCAAAGATATATTAAATAGCAAGAGAAACATAATCATTTGTCAGATTTGTTTTTTCCTAACAGAGACTGCATCCCAAAAGCAATGGTCCCAGGAATAAGTAATGAAGAGACCATTGGCCTGGACATAGGAAGATTTGAGTTCTGGCTCCAGCTTTTTCACAAAACAGTTGAGTGGACTTGCAGTTTCCAGAGAAGCTGGGAGAGGCATTGTTGTAGGTTTTCCTGACACGGGGAGTGCTCTTTCCTCCACATCTATTTTCTTACAGCTCCCACTCACTCTTTGAGATCCACCCAACATGACCTCTTTTCTGGGATTCCAATCTCAGCTTCCCCAGGTAAACTTGGTCATTTTCTCTTCTAAGATTGCATAAGCTTCGCTGAATAATGCTTATAGCCTTTCAATTGAACTGAGAATGTCCACAGGGCCATCTTCTTTGTTACAGTAAGAACCCGCGGGATACAGATACTGTGTTTAAAATGTTCTCTTGGCAGCCACAGTGCCTAGTGAAGCACTGACACATAGTACTGGTAGAATTGCAAGCTGTCTCTTGATGGAGAATGAAGATAGAACTGAACCTAGAGGAGGTGATGGTGCAGGGAAGGTCAAGAACCATGTAATCTAGGGCAACAAGGTGGCTGGGCAGTGAGCACTAGCTTGAAAATACTGTTTCTCTTTTTATTTAATACCACTAGCCCATATCCGAGAAGGCCTCCAGCAATGAGGTGGTTAACCAAGCCTTGCTAACTTCATAACTTTCCCCAAGACACTTTCCTGCCTAGAGGGTGAGGGGACAGCCTTGTCCTGGTCCAGTCACCCAGAACTGGGTGCGTAGGAGTTCATAACGAATCTTTGTGAACTCCACCTTTATCTTTCCCAAATCTGACATTTCAGGGGTTTATGTATTATAGTTGCCTCACTAAAACTTTTTAGAATAACGTAGGATGTGTTTTAAGCAAGCAACCAACCAACTAATGAGAAATGAGTGTATCTAGGGACATCCTGAGAAATTGCCAGCATGGAGATGAGAGGAAATGCAGTGTCTTTATGTGGCTTCCAGAAGCAAGCTAGTGGTGACATGGTTAGTCAAGTAATGTTTAAATATACAAATTTCTATAACCAGATGCCTTACACCTAAGTTATGAGTGGTTGTGAATCTACAGGCTTACCTTCATGTGTTGAAATAACAGTTCCCAATTATCATAGAATTTCTTTGTTTAGTGTTCATAGCTCAAATTTCATAAACAGATTTGAAAGATTCCCAGAATGGTTGGCCATTTTCTTATTCAAGAAATCATGCCTTTCAAAGTTAGCCTGGGTTGGTCTGGGGTGGGGTAGAGTTTGTTAATAAATAATAAAAAGTGTGGCTTTTTGCATTGATTGACTGCTAATTTCCTCTTCCTGTTCTTCATATTCAATAAGTAAAAGTGTAGGGATACCTTGGGAAAACAAAGGAGTAACTAGAAACTTAACTAGTTTGCTTTCCACAAATATTCAGACCATGCACTTTTATTGAATTGAGGAGTCTGAGCCATGCCAAATTATAGTAAGTGATTGAGTACCTGAGTACTTCTAGAAATTATATTCAATTATTTTTTGTCTGTATATTAATATGAGAATTTTCAATCCCAAGAAAACACAGCTGATAACATTATAATTAGCTAGGAAAAGAGCTAATTAGGAAAGAAGAAAAGGGGAAAGCCAGGCATTATAAGCATAGCCATTTGGGTATTCTCTCTGCAGGTAATCACCTGCCCCTTCCCTGCAGATCACTGGGAGAAGGGGTCCAACCAAGGGGAGATGGAAACATGCATAGTAAAGTTGGGGTGACACAGGGAAGGTGCCTGTCAGTCAAACCTTGAAGCAGAAACTATTGGCCAGAATGGATAGGACCACTGCAAGCCCATGAAAATGTGGGAATACATAATCTTCTAAACAAAGGAGTTTGCTCTCTTGCTCTTGCTCTCTGGCTCCTTTGGCTTTGCTCCTGTCCAGGTTCTCTCCATAACCTCATAGCCATGTGGCACGTGGATCCCACAGCAATGGATGGGTGAACTGCAACTGGGAACACAAACTAAGCTGGCCTGTTGCTGGACTGGACACTGCTCTAATGTGGAACAAAATTTCTGGACACCAGCTTTGATTCTAGCTCCATTGAAGCTATAGCTACACTTCTTCTACAGTGGGACAAAGGGAAATGGGACCAGGGATTTCAGGAGTTTAATTTCACAGAAATAAAGCTTTCTACAAGATTTCATCCTTTCATGAGAGTCTCCGAAAATTTGTTTTCTCTGGATATTGCAAAAATCACACCCACTAGCAACAGATGAGGATGAGGACCGCTCCCCACTGATAACACATCTATTGTCCTAAATGAAGGTAAAGATGAATTCACAATAATTTTTATTTCCTTTTCTCTCTCAAACTTAAGCTTTAGTCCCTGGAGATCAATAACAGTTATAAATTGGTAGTGGCAATTGCTATGTTTTGCATATATGGACACTTATTCTCATCCTGAACATTTAATTATCCAATTGGATACTGAATAAAAGAATAAATACAAACTGGGTGTATCCTCTTGCAAGTTCTCTTTGCATTATTTCATGGGCCAAATACTGGGTTTGCAACTATCAGTCAAATCAATAAAAAATCAGATTCAGGGAAAAAATACCTCTATTGTATTTATGGATGATACACTGCTCCTGGATTTTTACTGACATTTATTGACTAAAACAATTCAGGTACAACATATAGATT